TTGATGCTGGTTTACAGTTCTTCTTCAGTATTATGATAACTAAAAGTCATGCAGAAGACTGACAAGTGTACATTAAGTGGTTGTAAGTATTAAAATTAGCTCACAAAACCTTTTAGATATTTTAACAAGAATACAAAGGCGAATAATTCAGCAACAATTGTGTTTAGAGTTATGGGTCTTGGATAATGACTAATAATATAATAACTATAGCAAGGCATGTGCAGATAGAAAATGAAATGATATATATAATTCTTTAAGATAGCCCCACTATTCGTCGAGTGCTATAATAAACTACACCCATTAACGTCTTTGAAAAAAAAATTGGAGGAAGTTAAACAGTTACCAGGAAGGAAAGAAGGTGTATATATATCATTTACTAGTATATTTTTTTTTTGCCTTTCTCTTCCGGCTCACTATACAACAAGAATAACAATAAGAATAACGACAAAAAATAAACTTCTTGACATAAATATGTTATTTATTAAAAAAAAAAAAACACAGATTCTTTTATTCATTAAAACAACATATATATAAATGAAGAATACAGTTCAACAAGTTTAAATAATCACGGATGTTATTTACATAAATCCATACTATAACACATGTGATAAAAAAAGATAACTGAATGTTCTTCACAATCTATGGAAATAAACATATAAGATTTCAAAAATACCACAAAGGGGTGATGAAGAAGTGGTGAGTTTTGAGTTTAAGATTCTTAATCATCTGCTTAATGCCCTACACTGCAGAGATAGACACATAGCTAAATGCCCCACCCTGCAGATATAGACACATGGCTAAAGAGATAGACATGTGGCTAAATGCCCCACCCTGCAGAGATAGACACTTGGCTAAATGCCCCACCCTGCAGAGATAGACACGTGGCTAAATGCTCCACCCTGCAGAGATAGACATGTGGCTTAATGCCCCACCCTGCAGATAAAGACACTTGGTTAAATGCTCCACCCTGCAGATAAAGACACTTGGTTAAATGCTCCACCCTGCAAATATAGACACGTGGCTAAATGCCCCACCCTGCAGAGATAGACACATGGCTAAATGCCCCACCATGCAGATAAAGACACTTGGCTAAATGCTCCACCCTGCAAATATAGACACATGGCTAAATGCCCCACCCTGCAGAAAAAGACACATGGCTAAATACCAAGTATTGCAATTTAGATAATTGTAGGTCATTTCCGCGCCAAAACGAAACCACCCCATTGTCCAGTGTGATAGACCAAATATAAACAGAACAGGACAGAAATTCTATTGTTTAACGTATACAATACAGTATCTTGTTACATCACACATATCAAATATTATAAATAGCTAAACACATGATAGAATTTAAAGATTTAAAAGATAAACATTTGGCCTGTTTTCCCCGCCATTCCACTCCCTTCCCCCGCTCCATTCCCGTGGATAGGTCACTACACTGGTGCATAAAGGTCATACAGAATATTTCATCTTTACAAGTGAAATAAGACTTCATAAATTTGGCATACAAATGAGTTCACAGTTTAAAATTGCAAAAGGCAACTATATAATAATAAAGTACAGCAATTTGTTAAATAAATATATTGATCACAAACCTGTGCCCTTTTTTGCGACTCCCTAAAAATGGTATTGCACGGCCATGCATATATTTTGATGTGACATCATTTGAGTTATATGACATAGCGAAAGACGCACCAAATGTTAACGTTATACTATAGACGTGTAAATGAAAACTGGTACTTTTTAACTACAGTCTTTATTTTTGGTATTTGATGAATAGAATATTAAATTTGTGTAAGTTCATTTCTGAATTTATTGAACTCGTTGAGTAAAATAGAAATATGCGAGCCTCTATAATAGGAATGCCTGTGGCCCGCAAAATATATTTTTATTCAACAAGTTCAATAAATTCAGTATTAAAACTTATACTCATTCAATATCCTCTATTTATCACATACCTGTGCCGCTTTCACGACTCCGTAGAGGCTGAATTGCATGGCCGTGCATATACTCGTAGTTTGACATGCAAACATAGCGTTAAAATGCACTAAATGTTAGCGTTACAGTACACTACATAGGCACGTTACAAAAAAGGATTATTTTCACCATAAAAAAACAGTTATTATGTTGGTTATGTGATATATAGAATATTATATTTATGTAGATGCACGTTACAACAAGGAACATCGCAATGCGATGCAACCAGGTTTTCAGCAAAATATTTCACAGAAGCTTCGTCATGCAGGGGCATTTGTTTTAAAGTGAACACCCGCCCGCCCACCCAAAATCACAAAACCGGGATGATATGCCACAAGGAATCTTGATGAGAAAAGCTTCTGTGAAAGTTTGTCAAAATAGTTTGTAGAAGAGGTTTGCAAATAAGAATTTGTTCACTTTATATTCTATATATGGAACAAAAAACAATATATTTCTATATAAGGGAAAAAAATAAATGGCAATAATTAGGTCAAACATTATCAAATCTCATAACCCTGACAACATGCAGCAAGAGTTGATGACAAAGCTTCTGCGAGAGTTTTGTCAAAATCCCTAGAGAATTGTAGGAGTTGCGCACAGAATTGCGCAGAGAAGAAGTGTTCACTATAATATATTCTGTATAAGGAAAAAAAAACAAAGGGCCAAAATTAGGAAAAAAATTATCTAATCACAAAACCCCGACAATATGTGCTATGGCACTTGATGACAAAGCTTCTGTGAAAGTTTGGTCAAAATCCGTTGAGAAATGTAGGAGAAGTTGCGCACTGTAGAAATTGTTCACTATTATATTCTGTATAAGGAAAAAATACACAAAGGGCCATAATTCGGTAAAATATTATCCAATCACAAAACCCCGACAATATGTGCCAGGCACTTGATAACAAAGCTTCTAAGAAAAGTTTTGGTCAAAATCCGTTGAGAAATGTAGGAGGAGTTGCGCACAGAAGAAATTGTTCACTATAATATTCTCTATAATGAAAAAAACAAAGGGCCATAATTAGGTCCAATATATACCAATTGCAAAACCCTGACAATATGTGTCAGGGCACTTGATGACAAAGCTTCTGAGAAAGTTTGGTCAAAATCCGTTGAGAAATGTAGGAAGAGTTGCGCACAGAAGAAATTGTTCACTATATATTCTATATAAGGAAAAAAAACAAAGGGCCATAATTAGGTCAAATATTATCTAATCGCAAAACCCCGACAATATGTGCCAGGGCACTTGATGACAAAGCTTCTGTGAAAGTTTGGTCAAAATCCGTTGAGAAAATGTAGGAGGAGTTTGCGCACAGAAGAAATTGTTCACTATTTATTCTATATAAGGAAAAAAACAAAGGGCCATAATTAGGTCAAATATTATCTAATCGCAAAACCCCGACAATATGCGCCAGGGCACTTGATGACAAAGCTTCTGTGAAAGTTTGGTCAAAATCCGTTGAGAAATGTAGGAGAGTTGCGCACAGAAGAAATTGTTTACGCCCGCCCGCCCGTCCGCCCATCCGCCCGCCCGCCCGCCGACATACCTCAATCTAATAACCAGTTTTTTCCTTCGGAAAACCTGGTTAAAAAGGATTACTTTCACCATAAAAAACAGTTATTATGTTGGTTATGTGATATACAGAATATTATATTAATGTAGATTCATTTCTTAATTTATTGAACTCGTTGAACAAAGTGATATTATACAACTGGTTCAATAAATTCAGTATTGAATCAACACTCATTTAATATCCTCTATTTCTGTCTGCTTTTAATGCTTCATATATTTATTATATAAGTTCATGTCACCAGTTTCTAGCTTTAAATGACAGAGAAATGTCACAGGTACAATTAGATACAGCCACATATGTATGTCTCATTTATCTTAGTTCATATTCTTTGAATAAAGTTCACAAAAAAACTTGGCATGGTTTCAACAAAATTTAATGACCGAATAACATTCTATATATCTACACAAGTTATATAACAATTTTTTGTCAGTGAGAAAATATGGAAAGTCTATACAATGAATGTATAAGATATATTACTTAATATATATAGAACAAATACTAAAATAAAAAGTTAAATATCATTGTATCTATAACAATTTGTGTCTGTCAATTTCATAATAAAATATCATTGAGTACCAGTTACAGGAATAATATCTTCACTCTATGAATAAAATGAATTCAGGTCCACATATGGTTTACTGCTAACTAAAATTACACTTTATTGTCACAAAAACAAATCATAAAGTTAATAAAACTTGTAAAAAAATGACCTTCTTGTAATGTATATCTTGGTAAGATATTTTGATAAGATAAAAATAATCCTAAACATATCAAATGTGCATTGAAAAAAGTGTGTTTGTAAAATCTATTAAACAATAGCATGCAAAGGTGCTAGTTGAACTGATTTGACCTAAAATTTGTTTAATATTGTTATTTTAAAGACCCTGTATGTTGTACATGTAATTCAGGATGTAACAACACTTAAGTGAAATTTTATGTATATAAATATTCTTCTAAAACAATTTCCAAACATCCAAGAATATGTTAAATATGTACAGTAACTGTAAATGTTTATGAGCAATATAAGTAATCATTAAAATATATGCATTCAGTTCTGATTGAAAAAATTGGCTTAGACTTTATCGAAATAAATTTATAATTACCTCCCTTTATTACTTCGGCAATATATTAACAAATAATGCCTTTTGGAACTTACAATATTGATAAATCTTCATTTGAGCATCATATTTAAAATGATATAAAAGCATAAAATAATTTGAGTTACAGGATCTTTAATATGTAATACCATGGTCTATAATATGTAATATCATATACATATATTTAAAAAAAATCTGATTGATGTTATACTAGCATTTTGTCTGAAACAAGATACATGTATATTGTAACAAAAACTAAGATTTTTTCTTCTTCTATCAGTATAAGTAAATATTATACTCATCTAATTTCATGTAAGCATTAAAACATGTGGTGTAATTGTATCTATTGAAAACATAAATTTTATTTTTTTATTTTGGTAAGGTTTTACATGGCACGAACACAACATAGGCCATATGTCAAATGTTCACTTTTTCTTGTGAAGGAAGGGAAAAGGCCTCAGGCGCCCTCCCATGTATCATTTCAGGCATGAACGGGCACCAAAGTAGAACCATCAACATTTTGTAAGCTAGCTGGATAGCTTTCTTACTAAAAAGATACAAATGTCTCTTGCAGGATTTTGATTCCACAGTGGAAAATGTCATGTGCTTTGAAGTCAACAACCTTAACGCATGGCAACAGCCCATTCTATATTCATTTTCAGAGAAAGGTTCAACCATCGGGTATAGGATAGTAGCTTTAAAATTTAGCTTCAACTACATATGTATGTCTTGGGGTTTGGACTTACATATAGCAGTGAAACAATGGAATGGGTTTAAAACTATGCAAGCTGACAACAGCATTTTTCTTGCTGCATACACATGTTTTAAGCTGGTGATTAAAATCATTTATTTTCCAGAAATATACTGATTTATGTCAGCTATTATTACTTATAAACAAGTTAATCAGTCTAAGTATGTATGGTATTTTTGAAATTGTCTGATAAGAAATAAATAAAGATATACATGTATTAAATAATCATCAATGCTTATATTCACATCTGTTGAGAAATAGAGGAGTTTCATACAGAAAATACTGTTTTACACTCAGCCGCCCACACTTCACATTCACCTAGAAACCAGTTTCCTTGTGGAAAACCTGGTAATAAATAAACAGGTTAAAGTGAAATATAATCTTGAAATACTGTATGATAATAATTTTCTAAAAAGAGATCTCCAGATCAAAGGAAGAGGTATAGTTACGTAAACTGAACATTTTTACCACATTTTTACAAATTTCTAAGGTCACAAATTCATAGAATGAACAGAATTGGCCGTCTTTCTTTCCTTTCAAAGATCATGCCCTTGCAAAAGTAGGGTAAATAATTTTCTCATAAGAGAAATGTGTAATGCCTTTTTTAAAGACCCAACAAAATGATGAACTTATCTAAACTTTCATCTTTGTTTGTAATGCTTTATTTTTAGACCCAACAATATGATGAATACATTTAAACTTTCATCTTTGTTTTTTTTCTTGTTTTACGATTTTGTGGCGACGTCTCCGAGGACGCCCCGACCACAACTTGACTGCCTTGTATTTCCTCTTGTGACACGCCCTCTGCATTTTTAAGTTTTCCTTGTGCTTCAACGTAAAACATGACATCACGTAGCTGCTCCCTCAATTCCTGAATCTCCTATAGATAAATAAGATATCTCTTGCTTGATTATAAAATTAAATTAATTCAAAAATCCAAAATTAATATAAACCATATCAATGTAAATGTGTCATCAATATTTTTCTGTCAATCAATAATCAATATATATTTGGAAATTTTGTTTGACTTATTATTTAAATGTCCAGAAGTAATTGAATTCATCCAAAGCATATACTGAAGCAGGTGTCCATGTCTAAAACTATGCTGTTGTAATGTAATGGACTTATAATTTACGTCAGTGATGACTTATATGTTCAGAAAACAAGAGCATTACTTGCAGTGTTAACACTTTGTCTGTTTACATAACAACTTTTGATAAGAATTCTAAATTAAAAAGGGGGTGTCAGGGGCGTTCGTGGCCAACTGGTTGAGGTCGTTGACTTTAAACCACTTGCCCCTCACCGCTGTGGGTTCGAATCCCGACAAGGACTTTGGATTCTTTCATGTGAGGAAACTATCCAGCTAGCTTACGGAACGTCGGTGGTTCTACTCAAACCCAAACAAACAAACAAACAAACAAATAAACAAAAAGGGGTTATAGCTCCAAAAAATCACCTTTCAGAATCATTCTCTTTGTGTAACAACTGTCTCTTGTCAAGATAAGTAAGTATTTCAAGTTTCATGTTGGTAACTTTTAAAATGTTTGAATATTGGGCTACATTTAATTTTCTGCATGACAACAACAATGATGATGACAACAACAAGAATGACTCCATTGCAATCATAATAGCTTAACTTCTGAAACACAGATGTTAAAAAACACAATAGTATGTGTTTCACTTAAATCATTTAAACAGGCATGAAAGCGAATTATAGTCAAGTAATTATCAATTTATTGGGGTATCATCAATATTTTCCATCCCATATTGATATACATGTATCTTCAATATGCTTTGCAGTGAATCAATGACAGTTTTAATAATGGTCACCTAGTGCCAAACTTAGGCTTGTTCTTTGTCATGTTATTGAATGGACAAGGATTTTCCACGTTGTGTCTCTCTGTGACATTGACCTTTGACCTAATAACCTACTAATCAAGTCCCATTCATGGGCCATGGGCAATGTCCCTATCAAGTTTCACATACTTAAGTATTCCTTCTCAATTAATTGAGTAAACATGAATTTTACACTGAGTGTCCATGTGACCTTGACTTTATAATCATAAAATCAATAGGGCTACTGGCATATACCAATCTCCCTATAATAAGAATACAGAGTGCAAACCTAAAAGTTATAAAGTTCTTTAGCAGAAATCAATGTTGCTTACAGACCGACAGATGGATAGATGTACTGATAGACAGACAGGAACAAAACCATATTAAGAGCCTAATTTGCTGGATAGAAGTATGAAAGGAGAGGGGAGCATAATCCTTAAAATCTGCTTAACAAAATTACCTGCCCTTGATAGAAATGATGTGATTTTGTTTCGTTTGTTTTTGGTTTTTTTTTGCTGTTTTTCTTAGAAAAAAATAAAAAAAAATTACAAGACCTGTCAAAGGGCAGCAGGCTCCTCTTTATTTCAGTGATGGATAGTTTAATAAAAGCAACATTTAAAAGGGGATATAATTTTGCAACATTTCTTGGCAGACTTACCTACCCTTGATAGATAGTCACTTTGTATTTCAAGTTTGAACTTTAATTGTTAAAAGAACAATTAAAGTTCAAACTTTAAATACAAATGTTTATTAATAAAAAAATCTAAATAAAAAGGGAGATAGTCAAGCAAATATTCCAGGATTATCTGCATTTCAAATTTGACAGTGAATAAGAAGTGAATAGAAGGCAAGAAAATGAATGAAGAAGACTGGTTATTTTTGCACTTACTTTATCTTTGGAAGTTGTAAAATCTTTGAATTCTGACTCAATGGTAGTAACTCGTTTCTGCCACACGTTTTGGTTCTCAAGTAAACATTTATTCATTCTTT